TCGTTCCTGGCACGGTAAGCCATATGATAATCCGATTCAAAATGGCCAGTACCAGACGATTTCAGCCCATTAACGCCTAGAACATAGATCTTTATGTGTTCTATTTCATTTTTAAGGGTTTATAATATTCTCAGACTCATAGTTCCTACATTCTATGTTCTGATTATTCATGGATGTTTGCAGCTGTTCTTCCTAATTTCATGCCACATGAGCAAATGAAGGTCGTGTCACCACTTCATTGAGGAGGTAGCTCCTCCCCAGGCATATTTTAAATTCCTTCCAAATTGAAGGGCTCATCTTCCAGCACTATATTAGCAGTGTCTGCTTTAATCCCTAAGGTTTTTAGTGGCTGATCCCTGAGACACAGACAGCTTTTTCGACCTTCCTAGTATGTTCTTAGTCTGGAAGCTACATGAAACCTGTCTACCATGGGTGACTTTACTAGTGTTTTAAATATACGTAGCATAGCTTCCAGCATCGTAGAAACATGAAAGTCACCACAGTACACCAATTATCAGATGTGTGGGGCCTTAGGCACAATCTCTATATAAAGACAATTATAAAGTCATCCTTGCACCCAACATAATGCAACTAACATACAATCATAGTCCCATGTACATTTTGTACATGAAAACAGAACTACATGACGCACACAGATAAGAAACAAATACTCCTAACAACTAGAGCTCTGATTTCTGCAATTGAACAAGTGTTTACAGCTGGTATTTAGAACTACCTTCTTCCAGCAATCAGAATAAGAAGTGCCATGCCCATTTCTACCTCTTGGTTTTTGGTTTGATGAATCCTGGCTATCAAAGAAAGAGTACCATATATTGGATAAAGATTTGGAGCATATTGGTAAATACTGTGCCAACCCTGCAAGGTATTACCACCTATCTGACACCATAATTGTGTCTTTAGAAGGTCATTCTATTGCTCGATCAAGCAAGTTGCATCATACCCTAGACACACCTGCCTAATAGGGCTGCCATAGTCCATATAAGCAAATAATTCTGCTTGCTGTACAATACGGTAATAATGCCAGCCTAGTTTTTATCAATAAAGTGCTGCCACCTGGCTAGTACGACCATGGGGCCTAACAGCTCCACTGTGGTTAGGTGTTTTCATTTAATTAGGCCAGTTCCCGTGATCAAGTCTGACTTAGAAAAAATACCAATTATACCAGTTTTCAAGGTTACTGAGACTCCATTCACAAATTTGTTCTCCACCATTGTGGTAAATACACCTTCTGAGTATTCCCATGTGTTGATCTATGGACCTAACCTGACAAATATACACTAAAATGCCATTTCCCACAGTCTTTGGGTAACTAGCTCTACTGCATACTAAGGCAGAGCTGCCATTTCAACAGTATAAGCCACAACATTATCCGTACTTAAGGAAGCCAATCAAAGGAGCTATTGGAGTCTTTCCACACAAGCTTTTCAGGCTTCTGCTCATACATATCAGAACACTCAAGCAGTTCTTTTGGAGAGTGGAATCTCGTCCTGGGAAACATTTGTGCTTTTCCTTTGGGATTTTCTATGGCTTATCATCTAATTATAGATCTAGAAGCAATTTCCTGTGACTATCCAGTGGGGGTATTTCCTGTGACTATTCAGTAATATCTTTTAGACATCTGCCTCAAGCATGATCCTAGGCAATAGCTGAATGATTCATCAGGTGCACCCACCAAGTTAATTTTATCATGTGACGGTAAGAGGACTGACTGTGCTGACAGGAGTGCTCCAAAGGAATTTAGGTCTCCTGCTTATGTGTCAATATACCCCTATGTCAAGTTCCAGGTACTCATTTCTTCCCAATCGATGCCTTCTCTTTAACTTTGGTCATCATTCCAGGGTTGGAATTCAAATGGTGATATAATTCAGTCACTTGTACATTAAGATTCAGCTTAGTTTTTGACAATATCAACTCTGTTAATACAAGATTTCCTGAAAATTTTGACATCCATTATATAGCAGTTGATTTGTAATTTGGAACCCCTGAACTCATCTCTAGTGTAAGGAAGATCAACTACCCAGCTTCTTTATACTTCTCATCCTGACAAAATTGTACAAAAGTATCACATACATATAATCATCCAGAGCCTCACATCTCACTGCATATTGATATTGCCACCTTACAGCATGGATTAGCAGCACCCCCTTTCCACTGGAGGAAGTGCCTTTAAAAGCAGTCAGGCTTGAGAACCAATTTAGAAAATTTATCCACTGATTTTGTCTTTCTAGAACTATTCTTGGTATCAAATCTTGGCATCCAAAGAGCAGATATCAACTAACATAGCTGCAGGGATTGATGAACCCTAGATCAGCAGGCAGGACAGCAGGTTGCTGGCTGCATTGGTTAAGGACTACTAAGATTGGCCAGCGGAAGCATAGGATGTCAGTAACTCCAAAAATCAGAGGTCGAGTGATGACAAATGCAGTATCCAGATTCAGTAAAAAGCAAGCAGTTTTCTTAGGCAGTGTGTATATATTGGAAGTAGGCAACAGTCCTGAGGAAATTCCTTTTCCATTAATTGGGTGCTCACAGCAGATGGGACCATGGAAGTAATTACATCTCAGAGCTCATAGGGGATGACTGTATCATAACTATTAAACCACTGAGAATCATGGCCCAACCATGTTGGCACACAAATCTTAAGCATCACATTTCCTGAACTTGTGTTTCTATTTTAGTAGCTCAGCCCAGCCCAACCCCCCCTTACACTGGAGGTGGCTGTACTCATTCATGTTATGATGATTTCATCTGATTTAGGGAGACAGGACTGAGACCCTTTCCTTCTATTATGATTAAGCCGGGGACACTATACCAAGGCCATGTATGTAGAAATCACGGGACTTTCGCTCAAATCTTTTGCTTTGAGGTGGTCAATAACTGCTAATTTAAGATCACCATATTTTTGCTGTTTTCATATTCTCTTTGCATTTTCATGACATGTGTGAGTCCACTAGGCACAATTCTGCCTTAATTAATGAGTATTATTGAAACTTGTACCCTATCTCCAAACTTCATTGTTTACATAAGTAGTGTTCAGTCACTTATGTTTTTAATCTGTACAAGTCAACAATCCATGTATTTTGGTCTAAAATGCTGCCCTATACATGTATACTTTCCTTTTCCCAACAGTATTTTAAATTCTATACCACTGGCTAAATTAATGATACCATTAATACCATGTGCCCCCTGAGAAATTTTTAATAATATTCCTCAATAAATAATACTGCTGCCTCTAAAGTGGATTAAGAGCATATATAAACCATAGATTATGAATGAATTTTGAGCTCATATGTAATTGAAAGCCCTAATCTAAGAATAATTAGTTCTTATGATGTGGCCCTACTTGATACTTGCCCTTATGAAGGGATCACTGAAGATATGGGTGTTACAGCAAAGTATAGTGAAGAGAGCAGATGGTGCCCAGCTATCAGAAAGAATAATAACTGGATCTTAAAGACTCATCTTAGAACAAGAAGCCAGGTAAGTAAGGAGTGAGCTAAGTGTATAATAGGAAGAAGCACACTAGGTTGATGATCCAAGGATTATAAATAATAAAATCCAAGACCATACAAAGGCAAGAAACTCAAAGGGGTAATAGAACTACCCTGACCTATAGGTTCAGCATAGGCTTGATGGCAATGAGGGTTTTTTTGGGGGGTGGGGTGGGGGAGTCGAGACATAGTTTAAGGAGATACGTACAGGTGTAAAGTTACAAAGGTGGGCCATGATGGCTAAGGCTGTGTGACAACTTGGCTGGGCCATGATTCTATGGTTTGGTAATTATGATGTAGTTATCTCCCATGATGTTATCTAGGATAATAATCTTCATGATGAGATTTGATAGGAGCATACAATCAACTGAAAGGGGGTTTCACAGAGGTAAGGTCTGCTCCCAATATATGTGGATGCTCTGGCAAAGCTTTATTGATTTTTACTGAATATGCATCCTGCATATAGCTGGTAAATATCTGATCTTCAGTTCTTTGGACTTGAGCCAGTGGCCTGCCATATTGCTCACTGATTATGGGCGTCATTATCCTCTGCCCCCTGTGAGTCAGCAGCCTGTTATTCTACCGGCTAACTTGTATTAATTCACCTCAGCATCCTGACATCTAATCCACTGATCATGGGTTTTTCAGCCTTTGTGCTATGTGAGTCAGAAGCTTCCAGCCTGACACTTAACCCACAATCATAGTTTGACAGTATGTACAAAAGTGCAAGCTAGCTTCTTAAAAATTACACACACACATTACAAATTTCATTGGTTTGGTTTCTCTAGAAAACCCAGGTAAAGATAGAAAGGTTAGGAATCTTGCCTCAAAATCAGTTGTAAATGGCAGAATCAGGAGTCAAACCTAGACTCAACTAAGTATACAGCCTCTTTTGGGACAATGAGGGGGCCAGAAACCTCAGAAATCAAGGAAAGAGAAATTGTTGACAAAATGGAAAAGTTAAAATTAAGTAGTGGCACTCATCAGTGGTAGATTTATTTTCCCCATGCAAGAGGTCCAGTTTTGATTCCCATATCATAACCTCATGCCCTGCCACCAACTCAGTGGAAGACTGTATATTGCTGTGATGCTAAGTTTCAGGAGGGTTTTTAAAATAAAAAAACTAGGAAGAAACATCCAGTGATCAACTTCCAAAAATCTCTAAATGTTAACATAAATAAAAACCCTGTGGATCACAACAGAGATTGTTCAAAACATGGGTTAAGCACAGTACTGGACAACATTTTGTTTGGTTGAACTTGGGGTCACTATGACTTGGGAGCTAAGTCCACAGCAGCAAACAACTAGAAGAAAGTGTCCTCTCATTTGTAAATTCCTCTTTGCTCACTAGTCACATGTAAATAACCCTAAATAACTATACCTCCCCCACCCCCACACCCCCGTCCAGTATCCTGCGCTTATTTGTGTACAAAGTCAGGCCTTTAAATGCTGCTCCCACTCCAAAAAGGAGAGTATCAGTTTCCTTACCTCTAGATTTCTTCTTGCTGAACACTGACTGCCAGATGATGATCAGTGTGAACAGAAGAATGCTGAGTATCCCAACACAGCACACAAGTATGGCATACACATGGAGGTCTGAAAGGCAAGGACATGACATCATCATTGTAAGAGGCCCCCACGGAAGAAGTGACCTGTTCTTTGCACAAAACAGGTGAGAAACAAGTATTTTATAAGCCCCACTACTACAATGATGAAGTTCATGTGAATACAGTACCCATAAACAGACCCACATAAAATGTCCAGTCAATTTTTGACATAACGCAATGGCAGCAAGACAGCTTTTCAACAAACGGTGTTGGAGCTATTATATATTCACTGGCAAAACCCCCCACAAACCTCAAGTTAAACTACATACCTGATGTAAAAATGAAGTCAAAGTTGATCACAAACTGAAATGTAAAATGTAAAAGTAGAAAATTTTCAAGGCAAAAAAAAAGGAGGAAATCTTCAGGATCTAGGGCTAAGCAAAAAGTACTTGCAACAAAAATGAAGACCCATAAAATTAAAAACTGATAACTTAGGTGTCATCAAATAAAAGAACATTTGCTCTGTTTAAGTTCATGTGAATAACACAAGCAACAGTCTCTGTCGTGTATCCCAACACAGCGCCCAAGTATGGCATACACATAGAGATCTCAACGACAAGGGCATGGCATTAGATTGGGAAAAAATGTTAAAAAGACCTACTATTTGAAATACATAAGTATCCCTCAAAATTCAACAGTTTAAAAGAAATCCAATTAGAAAATTTTAGTGCTGTAAATCACTTACTATGGCCCTTCTACCTATTGTCTTTGTAACTCCAGCAAGGGGATTAAACAGCTTTTAGTACTGTATGTAAAGTATATGGCACCCTTGTACTATGGGACAAAGCAAATAAGTTGTATGGTATTCTAATGAGAGGTGCAGTGAGTTTGGCCATCCTATTAAGTTTAAACTCACTCATCCCGATGTCAGAAAGAAGTATCTCATTACTATCAAGAAAGAAGATACAGGAGTGGACCCCAGATCTCTTCCCTGAACCTCCTCGGTCAAAGAGAGCTGTGGAACTAGGGATAGAAATATGCAGCTGCAGACAAATGGCAGCAGCAAAACCAATAACTCAACAGAGCAGTGGCCTTCCCAGGACACGCACACAAAAATTCAGTGCCTTCTGGCAGGAGTCTGATTGATGGAGTGCGGTGCTTTCAGTCCTTATTGGCACAGTGACAAGGGTTTCGTAAGACTCGCTTGCGCAGAGCACATGTCCAAGGGCTACAGGGTCTGAGAGTGCCTGCAGGTACTGCTGGGAAGAGGCTGTTCTGCTTGAAGAACTGGATCCTGAGTTATTTCTTCTCCCAAGGTATAGCCTGTTTACTACCTAACACATCTCATAACCATGAGTACTAACTGATTCTGCAACAGATTACTGAAGCTAATAGATTCCCACCGGAAAGAGAATTAATGTTAGAAAAAGTTTGGAGGGTGAAGGTATGTCTGAATTCCACCTCCTACAAATCATCTTTGGGCTGCTGGCTCTGATTCTCCTTCTTCTTGTGAAGTCAGAGGACATCAGTCACCACCTCCACACCCTTTTGACCACAATATACCAAACGCCATGAGCAAATACGGCAGCCACAACTGGAAGACGGGAGGACAGTGGTCGCTAAGCAGAGAGTGCATTGGAGAGAGGAGCACAGAAGATCAAAGGGGCAAACCTGCCTTGAACAGTTAAAACTTTGTCAGTTGGTCCCACCTCTGACGCACCCTGGACCAGATCTGGTTTCCAAGATTGTTTCTATTTTTGTTTTCTTTTCCTTTTTGTTTGTTCATATTAGGGTTTGTCTCAGAGGTGTTAGGTCAAGGGGGTCACCCTCTTGAAGTTATGTTATATGTTTTTCTGATTTTTGGTGTATGAAACCCAGTATTGATGGACCTATAGGAACAGCAAGTTTTTGGGTGGGGGGTATACTCGGGGGGTGGGTTGGTAAAAGGGAAACAATGTCAAGGAGTCCAAGAAGGAAAATAATGCTTGGGAAATGATTGTGGTAGCAACTCCACAATATTGCTTGACATGATTGAACTAAGAGATTATACGATGCATGTATTAACTCCCAACTGATAATAAATTAAAAATAAGAAAATATACATATGACAAATAAGTACATGAAATGTTCCATATCATAACTACTAGGAAATTCAAATTAAAAATCACAAAGAAACAGCAATACATGCATTTCAAAATGGGTAAAAAAAAGTCAAGAAAATACAAAATGGTGGAGAAGATGCAGACAAACAGGATCAGTCATATATTGTTGGTGGGAATGTAAAATGACCCAGCCACTGTGGAAGAGTTTGCAGAATTCCTAACTGCACGTGCAACTACCACACAACGTTATAATTACATTAGAGGAATTTAGCCCAACAAATGGAACTCTAAGTTCACACAAAAATCTGCCTATGCATGTTTATCACAGTTGTATTCATAAAAGCCCCAAATGGAAACAACACTGAGCCCTTCAACAAGTGACTGAGTGGTTAAACAAACTGTACAAGGGTAAGTAAAAAAGTACTGGTATTACTACAAAAATCAGAGAGAGCTTTATTACACCAAAATACCAAATGATAACACTGTTGTTTCTTCATATATGCCATACAGCAACACTTCTGAGGTCATCCATACATTTAATTAGGTTTATGTCTTATCTTTCCCTGCAGAATTCTAAATCCTTTATTTTACTGAACACCAAAAGAGCAGTGAAGGTATCCCAGAGGGATTCAAATGGTGTATCTTTTACAGCTTCTCTAAGTTTTGAAATTAAACTTCTGAGGAGGCAAGATCAAGACTGTCGGGGGAATGGAGTAAGGTTTCCAGTGAGACTGTCATAGGAAAGCCATCACAGACCTCAAAGACTTAGTAGGTACATGATGGTGATGTAAAAAAAAAACAAAACCTCAGTGCAACTTTCTAGGTTATTTCCCCACCAATGCAGTTAAAAATCCTTGTTGTCGTTCTGTGATCTTTGAGAAAATCTGTAGAAATTAACCCTTTGGAATTCCAAATTCCGTCACCAATTCTGAGTTGAAGTCTGCCTTTAACTGAACTGGCAAAGCAGATGCTCGAGAAAGCCGCTGTTTTGATTGCACTTTCTGAAAAGAAGGAATCCTAACAAGCCTACAATAAGTGTGCTACTGAGAGAATGTGTCTGCAGCCTTCCACTGGTTATTTTTGACTTACCATGATATCTACAGGGGCTTACTAGCAGCAATAAAAAGGACGATTGATGCAAACAATAATTTGCATAATGTTCATCAAAGACTCATGCTGAGTGATACAAATCAATTCCAAAAGATCACATGATATATGCTACATTTGGAAAATATTTTTGATCTGACAAAATAAAACAGAGAATAGATGTTAAAGATTAAGGTGGGAAGAGAGTGAAAGATGAAATAGTTATAAGGGGCCCTCTGTGGTGATAGAAATGTCCTACATTATTTTGTAAAAAAAAAATTATTGTGAATTAGATGAAGATTTCCAGAGCATATAATCAATTTTACACTCACAGATGCAGACATATTGTACTTCAACTCATGCATTTCAATCCCTCAATGTATAATCACTTACCCTAAGCTTTCTTCTGTTTGTTGTTTCAGATCCTCTTTCTTTTTTAAATTTCTGAACTTTGTCACTGGGTAAATGCTCCCATTTTGATCTTAAATGGTTGATTATTTTAACATTTGGTGAGTTTGGTTCTAGATCTGAAGTGTGACTAAAGGCCATAGCCTTGGGGTCCCACCAGTCTCTAGCTGACCAGTAAACCTGATCTTTTTTATGATTTTGAGTTCTTTTCACTCTAGTGTTCTCCCACTCTATCCAGTACCTTCTAATGTGATCCTTTGAAAGCAGTTGGTAGTGGTAGCTGGGCACCATTCAGTACTTCTAGTCTCAGGGTTATGTAGTCTAACACTTAGTCTAATACACTAATAACAGTACATCTAATACTTTGTTCTTCTAACCTCAAATAAGCAGTCCAAAATCACTAGCCATTCTTCTGGAGAAAGATGAGGCTTTCTATTACTGCAAAGAGTTAGTCTCAGAAACCCAGCAAGACAGATATAGCCTGTCCTTATGGAGTCAAAACAAGTTGATGGCATGGATTTGGTGTTTTTTGAGTTACAATTACACTGGACCAATTGGTTCCGTATGCTTTGTGTGTTAGGCTGGGCTGTCTAGAGTAACAAAATCAGTGACACTCATACATGTATATGAAACAGCTTTATATCAAGAAGTAATCTTACATCAAGAAGGCATCCCAGCCAGGTCCAATGTAAGTCTGGATCCTATACCAACTGGGGCCCTCCTCAGACTCACATAGTTGCATGCTGATGATACAGAAGGATGAAGTGAGATGCAAGAAGATCAGGAGCCAGTGAGTAGAGTCGTGTGGATCCAAGGTTAATTGAAACATGGCAGAGTACCAACAGCTCCTAGGTTACCTCCCAGGTTCAGTGACCTCATGTGGGCAGACAGAGTCCCACAAAGCAGGAAGGCACAGGGCAAGAGAGAAGTTCCTAGTTTATCCCTTATAAGAAGGTCACGTCCCCAGGAAGATATCATGAGGCTGTGACTTGATTGATAGGTTGGACTCCTCCACCACACACAGTGTCAAGTTGACATAAAATCCAAATGCCACACCTTTCAATTTTCACCACACGTCTTTCCTCTGGATGGAGACTAATTGTTGGACCTTAGACTACTGATCATGAGCTTGTGCTGATCTCCCTCTTACGGTTTGCCACCTTACCCTTCACCAAAGTTAAAACTTAACTCTCCACTAGTCAGTGACTTCTGTCCTTCCTTTCTCTTCCCATCCTGGGTAACTATTAAAGAATGCCTCTTCTATTGAAAAAATATTTTCTAGATCTTTGATATTAATGGTCTCATATAATATTTATCCTTTTGATGACTGACTTATTTTACTGAGTCTAATGTCCCCCAAGATCATCCATGCTATGAGGAGTCTTGCAGATTCATTATTATTCTTTAATGGTGCATAGTATTGTACTGCATATACGTACCAAGGTTTATTTAT